GTAGGGTAAGTTATAGTAATCGCAAAAAAATCGAAAATGAAAATTTTTATATATCTTTATGTTTCAGAGGTTTCTGAATATTTTGGCATACCTTAGAAAAAATGGATGTGTGTGTGTGTGTGTGTGTGTGTGTGTGTGTGCGTGTGTGCGTGTGTGCGTGTGTGTGCGTAGTATGTATGTTTGTGCGGATACAAATTTTCGTCGACGATTTCGGGAACACGGATGAAGCAATTTGAATAATTTAAAAAACATTCGATCCGTATTGATAAGAAGACATGCTGATTAGTTTTTGGCGGAGGTAGGTCTAGCCGTTCCGAAGATATGGGGCAAAAAGTGCCAAAAACGGTACCTCAGTTTTTAATAGAACGGAGCGTCCGATTTTAATAATTCAAAAAACATTCTACTTGTATTGACAAGATGAAGATTTGATCAAATTTTTATAAGGGCAGGTTTAGCGGTTTCGGAGATATAACGAAAAAAGTAAAAAAAAATGCCATTTGGCGGTCAAAAATGATCATTAGACATATGCACATCAAATTATAAGATATTTTATAGAGATTTTAACAATAAGTATAAATTTTGTTTACATTCCTATGGGTTCCGTACCAATGTTTACCCGTTAGACAGCGACGCGGCGCTTACTCGCTTTATATTTTGTCTCTATGCATTTGAAGCAGTACGATTGCTTTGAAAAAAAGTTCCGATCTTCCAACATATGTAAAAATGAAGAAAACATTTTTTTTTCAAAATTTAAATAATTTTTAAATAATTTAAAATTTAAAAAAAATTTAAATAATTTTTTAAATTATGACTGAGTCGTCACCCGTGCATCGGAGCACAGAAATGTACGGCGTGATGTACTTTACAAATTCACAAAAAATCTCATTCAAAAATTTATATATTGTTCAATTTAAAATGACAAGGATTGGTTTTTTTTTTGTTGCATTGTGAACATTTATAATATGATATAATTAGGATTGTGCATTGTGAACATTTATAATATGAAATAATTAGGATTAATTCAATTACATAGTCCACTGAAGATGACACAAAACAATGTGTCGAAACGTATGGAAAAAATAAAAATGTTTTAAAGTCATACAAATTTTTTAATTGATGTATTGCCCTGAAAACTGAATATCACATATTTCAACATCAAAATTATAAAAAATTTAAAATATATATATATATATATATATATATATATCTGTGTGTGTGTACAACATGTGTGTGTATGCAAATGTGGTTATGTGTCTGTGTTTGTGTTTGGTCAATTTGGAATAACAATCAATATCATCAATTTTGCTTATGCATAGCTTTGTCTCGGTTACATAGGAGCTGAAGATAATTTGCCAATATGAAGCCCATATCATTCGAGAATAATACCCATATTGGTCAATAACATTGAGCTCACATTAGTAAATAATTTTGCACGATATAGAGCCCACACTAAAATTTAAGGACTACATTTATTATCCAATAATTAATTAGGAAATAATGTTGTACTAATAAGGTGACCATACGTTCCGGTTTGGCCGGGGCAGTCCCGGAAATCCACCTTGTGTCCCGGATTTTTTTAAAAGCAATACTAGTCCCGGATTTAGATTCGAAAATTAATAGGTAAATTCACCAAAAAATTTGAAAATAAACGAACATGATTTTTATGGTAGTTGTTTGCAGATATGCTTTCATATGCCTGAAATACCTAAATGTTGGCAGGCTCCAATAAACTGAAGACTGATAATCACATTACATTGATCATAAAAGTTTTTTCTCGTATTTTAACAGCAAATTTTACATACTATTAAGGTGCTTAGATGGTAACCTGACGGTGTTCATTCTGCATATATTTGATATATTTGGCTTACCTATTTGATGCAGCAATCAGGGAGAAAGGGTGTTTTCGGAATCATATTTAAGATCTATATTCCAAAGTGATAATTTATATCACTACTGCTTGATGTAGGGATTGTCCATGTCAAGGATTAAACCCGAGATCCGCCTGACTGCGAACCTACGCGCACTAAAAATTACACTAGTAAAATGAAAAGCCCAAGTTTAAGAGGAGAACCTGCTTTAAAGGCTTTAAAAATCGATTTTTTTTGCAAAAATTTCTTCCAAAATTTCAGAAACAAATTTAAATTTAAAAGCAAGCGTCGAACATGTATGCGAGAGGAGCGAAAATAACTTCGACGCGCGTTTTCTTGGATTTTTTCGAATTTTGCTATTGGCGGAAAAGATAGGAATAAAACTAAACGTTCTATCAAAACGATACAAAATTGATCGTATTCAGCATGAAATTATCTTCTAGTTGAACCTAAAATACCTTAAAAAAGTTATAATTAAACCACTTTTTAAACAATCTAAAGTGAAATTTTTTATTAAAAAACATGATTTTTATAAGTTGTAAAAAGTTGGTCAATTTATAATTGTTTTCTGAATTTTTTAGGTTTAACTGGAATCTATACTATTGAAAATATACATTTGTTAACTTCCCGTAGGGCAAGTTATAGTAATCGCAAAAAAATCGAAAATGAAAATGTTTATATATCTTTACGTTTCAAAGGTTTCTGAGTATTTTGGCATACCTTAGAAAAAATGGATGTATGTGTGTGTGTATGTGTGTGCGTGCGTGTGTGTGTGTGCAGATGCACATTTTGTCGACGATTTCGGGAACACCGATCAACCGATTTGAATAAATCAAAAAACATTCGATTCGTATTAATAAGGAGACGTGCTGATTAGTTTTTCGCGAAGGTAGGCCTAGCCATTCCGAAGATACAGGGGAAAAAATTCCGAAAATTGTAACTCAGTTTTTAAGAGAACGGAGCGTCCGATTTTAATAATTCAAAATACATTTTACTTGTATTGACAAGATGAAGAATTGATCAAATTTCCATGAAGGCAGGTCTAGCGGTTTCGGATATGTAATGAAAAAAGTAAAAAAAAAATGCCATTTGGCGGTCAAAAATGATCACTACACATATGCACATCAAATTATCAGATATTTTATAGAGATTTTAACAATATGTATAAAGTTTGTTTACATTCCTATGGGTTCCGTATCAATGTTTGCTCGTTAGACGGCTATGCGGCGCTTACGCGCTTTGACATTTCGTCTTTATGCTTTGAAAAAAAGTTCAGAATTTCCAAAATAGGTCAAAATAAAAAAAACTTTTTTTTTAAATAAATGTTTTTTCTACAAAAAAGTAATTTTTTGTCAAATCTATAGTTTCTCAAAAATCTAATTTTTTCGAAGTAAATTTTTTTCAAAGCAATTTGCCTTAAGGCACGATGCCATGCGTCGCACTAGTTTTAGTGTTTTGTTTCGAATGGATATTGTGACCGGCGCCTCGGCAAAATGCTTGTTTCCGGCATATTATGACATATATTTTTTGGAGTCTCTAAAGCAGGCTCTCCCCTTTGATTGTTGATAATGCAAATCTTACTAAATAGATATAAATAAACCACGTAGATCAGTAATAAATTTTCTGGTGCCGCCGTCATCAAGCATAAACCATTTCAAATATGAGAAGTTCCACGTCAGTTTGAAGTGTAAACGCTTTAATGCAGTTACCTCGTAGCGTTTTATGGTGAAGCTGCCAGTTTTATCCCCATTAATGTCTGACGGTTTTCTGCATTATTTTAAACGTATACATATTCAACAGGATAAAGTTCAAAGGATATAAAATGAATTTACATTTGAACAGCCTCAACTCATTTTTATAAGTGAAAGGCGTATAATTACTTATTTACTTTATGACTGGGGAGAGGAATGATCACAACAAACGGTCACATATTGAATCAACTTATTACACAAAATGATGTCATTCTGAATCGTTTTACACTAAAATTAGAAAAGGTGTGTATGTGAGGCACAACCGACTCATTTCAACCGATCAACCGATTTGAATAATTCAAAAAACATTCAAACAACAGGCCTAGCCGTTCCGAAGATACGGGGCAAAAAGTGCCAAAAATGGTAACTCAGTTTTTAAGAGAACAGAGCGTCCGATTTTAATAATTCAAAAAACATTTTACTTGTATTGACAAGATGAAGAATTGATCAAATTTTCATGAAGGCAGGTCTAGCGATTTCGGAGATGTAATGAAAAAAGTAAAAAAAAAATGCCATTTGGCGGTCAAAAAGGCACAACCGATTCATTTTAAATTTGAAACTATGTATTTTCAGATGTAAATCACTGCTTATGTAGATAATGTTGCCATCAATAATTTAGGAAGTAGATCGACCATAGTTGTTAAAGTTTAGATTACTTACTCATGTCTTAAACAAATTGAACATCATGTATACCTTTGTGTATACGCCCATTATACATAAAATAACTTGTCTAATATTATTGAGAAAATATAATTTTCATTTATTACAGTTTTATTGTAAATTTCAATTTTCTGTAATAAAAATGCACAAAATCCAAAACTTTTTATCATACTGTTTATTTATTTAATATATTTATCTATTCATAACCAAGTTTTATATCTATATTTATTTTTCATCTATATTTTAATGATAATTTAAAGGTGAAGTTTGTTTTCGCCAGAAAATCTGATTTGCTAATTTTATGTTTAATACCGAATTTGGAAGATGTATGTGTGTGTTTACTCTTTAAATTTAATACTTGAATCATAATGTTGAAATCAAGGCAAATTTCGTATTAGGTATAATTTTTTATTCCAACAAATAAATTACAAAATTGACCAGTTTTTCTGGCAAAAACTATTAAAAACTTCCGTGAGTTAAATTGGCTCATACCCTAAAAATAGTTATATCACATTCAAAAATGCGAAATGAAGGGATCTACGAGAAAATTAATGAATGAATTTTTACATATATTCCATTACATAACTAAAAACTAATTTTTGTTTGTAAAAGTAAGTATTTTATGTATTAAGTGATCAAATTGTTATTGGGTCAAATTGTTTCGGTCCGTAGATCTAGTAATATTTATCATAATTTCTAATACTCTCTTCAATATTTTTAGATATTGGGCTGTTACTAACGTAGACTACATCCATAACAGAACTGGTAATAGAATATTCATTATGATCTTCATTGTCTGGACTGTAGCCGTAATAGTATCGTTAGCACCACAATTCGGTTGGAAAGACCCAGACTATTTAGATAGAATAAACTTGCAGCAACGCTGCCTAGTGAGCCAAGACGTTGGATACCAAATTTTTGCCACATGCTCCACGTTCTACGTTCCACTTTTTGTTATTCTTGTTTTATATTGGAAGATATTTCAAACAGCTCGCAAAAGAATCAGGCGTCGTACAAAAGTCGAAGCACCATCCACACAAAGCAACAACAATAAATCGGCATTTGGAACGAAAGTTGTGCAGCATCGTTTTCTAAGAAGCAAGAGAAGCAATAAGAAGAAGCAAAGTGCAGCTACCGCTGTATTAAGTTCATCTCTTATGATGATGAAAGGTAATTCAACAAATACAATGAATACTGTTGAGGACCAAGAAGAACAGAGTTCTTCTGTGATGAAGGAGGAGCAGACAGCTTTCACAATCGATAAACCAGACAATATCAACGAATCGCCTGAGAAAACGTCGACTAATGATGGATCGGCCAGTCACGTCAGCGAAGGAAGTCATGCTAGCCACGTCGAAGCAAGCAGGGATACGCAGATTAGTCATGTTGAAAAGCCGCTCAAGAAAAAAGAATCCATCGAGGCGAAGCGCGAGCGAAAGGCGGCTAAAACGTTAGCAATAATAACCGGAGCGTTTGTCATTTGCTGGCTTCCATTTTTTATTATGGCGTTGCTGATGCCACTCTGCGAAAGTTGTTCGATAAACGATTATGTTGCTAGTTTCTTTTTATGGTTAGGTTATTTCAATTCAACTCTAAATCCTGTTATTTATACTATATTCAGTCCTGAATTTAGACAGGCGTTCAAAAGAATATTATTTGGGGGCCACAGAAACTATTACAGAACGGGTAGATTGTAGTGTAAAGTGTTCAAAAAGTATGAAATAATTGTACGAATATTAATAATTACTAAATAATATTTATATATGTAATACAATACTATATCTATCTAATTGTTGTTGATGAATGAAAACTTCTAGGTTTTATATACTTCCAGGCCAAACATAATAATAATAATGCTAATTTTGTTATAAGCCGCTAATATATCTTTTGCTAAATATTGTAAGTAGTATAATCACATTCCATAATGTTGAAAGATATGATTAAATATCATTATTGTTTGAAAGAAACAATAATATTTAAAAGAAATTATTTACGAGTAACTAAAGCATTGCTTTCTGATGCCGCCTGAGCCCCGTGAGCACCAAAGTTTAGCGATGCTGAAGTTAATGTCCAAGGAGTACCTACTAATTCAGATATTTGTATATAAGCACTAATGTTTTTGTTGACTATTTTTAAACTGCCATTAAAGTCTTTAATTCGATCGCTGGCAATATACTGATGGTGACAAACTCCACATTTAACTACAATGTAAAATTTATAATTACTTAAATACAATATAAAATTGAAAATTTTAAAAATTTATAAAACCTTTAAAATAGATGAAAATTCCTGGGATGAGGCTTAACAGATTTTTTTTTAACGGTGCTTCTTTACAAAGAGAGGTTCTTAACACGTTGAGTCCGGCTTTGGTCCATGTAGGGACTTCATTTTATTCTTAGATTTTTATTCTTTACACGATTTCTTTTCAATAATAACATTCAAGTATTTTACCATTGTCTACACACTTTATAGTTTATATATAGTATCGCAGTAACTACTATACATTTCGCAAAATCTATTAGGTTGCATAATTAAGTCATAATTTTTAAACGTGAGATTATTTTTTCTAAATTATTTGAGAACTGCTAATAAAAATACTTAAATGTATAATTAAAAAAATCCAAATAATAATGGCTAAACTTTCTTTGATATTTTAATCCGGCAATTGAGTTAATGGAATCAAAATCTTTGCCATCAGTTTTCTTCATAATACCTATTACTGCATGATAAACTAGTACAATTTATTAATTAGAAGTTCTGATTCTACTTTTCGACATCTTGCAAATAACCATTCCATCACAACACAGAGCTTAATCGTATTTTATAATGTTGTAATATAAATTTGTATAAAACTTATATTGCACTTATTATATTTGAACTTATTATATATTATTGATCATATCATAGGTATTATGTATAAATTCATTGTTATCGATCCTAAATATAACGTAAGAGATATATAAACGAACGTAAATATTTGTTATAAATGTATCTTATTGATAATGTTGCATAAAAGTTTAAATATTGTATTATATTTAATAGTAACTATTCATTATATAGTAGATATTTAAAAACTATTTTCTTTACTCAATCAGTTTTCCAATGATATGTATGTTGAACAAATACGATATTGAACCATATATGTGCCAAGTATTATGTTGTATAGAAAATGTAAATAATTAAATATACATATGAATCAAATCTTTTGATAATGTGTATGGAATATTACAATGTTTATTATAGCAACCACATATGCAATAAATTGACAACAGTTGAAGATTGTTTTGAAATTATTTAACAAGAAATAAAATAAGTATTACTTAGTCCTTGAACTAATATTTCGTCAAATTTGAAAGCACTCAAATGAATATTTGTTCTCTAATAAATTTTCTATTTTATCACCTGTAAGTGTTGAATCATAAGTAAAACCATCAGTACTTAGTTAATGTAACTAATTAAATTATTTATTATGTTTTATAGAAATGAACATATTGAATATATCTGCAATCTTCGTTATGTATTATGCATATTGCATATTAATGATGATATATTCTTTGATATACAAAGAATTTGATTTTTGTATAATATATCAGCACTAATTATTTTCAAATTAATGTTGGGTATAATTGTTTCTTCTAAAATTATATTTAAACAAAAATATATAATTGCAAAACTAATATATAAAGAATTACTATATTGAAGTATTGAAGAATTCTAGTATGAATTCATTAGTATTTTAATAAATAGGAACATTAAATAAAATAATAAGCTCATAAAAAGTTCTCAAATAAATATTATCACAAATATATAAAAATTCACACAATGAGACATCAATTTCGGTTTTTATGTTTCTTGGACTATAATATCAGTGATTTGCGAATCACTAGACATTGTATCCCAATCATCCTCGTCTTCACTAGATGTAAAATAGTCACCATTGTCATCATCTTCTTCCTATAAATATGAGGCAAGCATAAATAAATAGTGCAACAGACCATTATGTGTAAAGACATTCAACACTGACATCAAACAAATGCACCCTCCTTATTCTCTGTGTTTCAACATTTATTTCAATTTGCATTCGGAAATCCAATGCCATGAAAGACACCATGACAAATAGAGGTAATGATATACGACAATTCCAAGCCAACCTACTGAAGAACATTAAAGTATCTGTGATTGCTTTACCAGCGGCCATGTTGTCTGTAAATTTTGAAATATGATAATAGCAAACATATTTGTTATTTCTATTAGTTTATTATATGTAATTACTTAAATACAATACACCAGATATATCAAAAAAAATAAAAACGAGTCAGCTTTTTAATCCAAACAAATTATGAATATAAAATTTATGATATGAAAGCAAATTTATATTCGTGTTTAGAGATGTTATAAAAAGAATCAATAAAATATTGCAAATTATTTCATGTTTTCTCAGATACCCATGCATGCTAGTATTCTGAAACGCAAGGAATGATCAATATGCCAAATGTCAATCAAAATAATCAATGTGATCCCCAGAAGTAAAATTTCCATTTTGAAGAATCTCGAGCAATTTTGATGTAGTCTGATCAGTTGTTAATATTTTATCTTCATCCCTCATGGTTTCAAAGGTTTGTTTAATACTAGCATCACCGATATCTTTAATAATTATCTGTATCATGTCTGTTTTTACAGGCCCAGGTGAATAATTTAGCACAAGAACATATTTCTCTTCCTCAGCAAGAACTTTAAACAACATTTCTCTTGCAGCTTTGCCTGTACCATAATGCCCCATATTTGCAAAAGGCTTTATAGCAATTAGCGACGTAATATTAATAATAATAGTTTTATAAACATCACATTGAATATTGTGAGTGGGTCCAACAAATTTAAGAAAGGCAGAATTCAATAGTGCCACGCCAAACACATTCAAAGCGTAA